TTCTTCCTGTTAAAAGGGAGTTTTCCTCTCCACTGTCGCTACAAGCATGCTTAGTGTGAGGGATTGTATTTGAGTCAATGAATCGATACAATCAACTGGTTTTCCTTAGATAGAGAACTTTGTTTCAATTTGAACTGTAAAGTGCCTTGAGATGACATGTGTTGTGAATTTGGCGCTATATAAATAAACTGAACTGAATTGAAATTGAATAGTATAGCATGCAATCCATCCTGTTAGCTTTGCCATTACTCATCATTAAACACATGAAATGATCAAAATAATCAAAAGACATGTTGTTTGTTCTGTCCCTATTGTACCAGACCTGCAAACCTCTGTCCATGTCAGTTTTTGGAAGGTATGAGTTCCATCCAGCAGCAGCTTAGCATAGCAAGCTCACATTAACAGGGGTTTTCTTTGTCCCACACGACTCACACCAAGGAATCTTCAGGAGACGTTCTCTTCCAGTCTTGCTCTGTAAGTTCTGAGACTCAAGAGGAATGTGTTGCAAAATCTGTTTTGCAGCAGTTTAGCTCTGGAAATCAACCATCATGACTTATCCCTTGAGATCTGGGCCTTTTGTGCCTGGCGCCATGCTTTTGTTGCCTCCTCCAATGTGAACCCCCAGGGAGCTTCATGTAAAGAGAGAGAAATCTTGTGTGCTGTGGCCTTTATTGTTCTCAACACAGAGGGGGGAAAGTCACACCTCTGTGGGAGTTGCAGAGACTCTGTGGGAGTTGCAGAGCAGAGAAGAGAGGTCTTACAGCTAGTTATGAGCCAAAAATGCATCCTCTTCTCTGGTTTTCAGTTTAAGATGAAACATGAACATTGGTTCTTAATGTCTAAAATTATGATCAGTTGTTTACAAACTCTCCAGCCTTGCTCATAAAAGTGGGCCCAGGGCGTCCCCCCCTGAACACCTAAGGGTGGATCCCAGACACCCTAAAAAGTCCTAAAGCATAAAAAAAAAGCTGCAACGATGCAAATAAATGTTCGACCAGGGGAAGTCAAGCAGAAATAAGCAGATTTTCTTTGAAAACTATGTAGCTATCTGATTGGATCTGATGGAATTTTCTCTGTAAAGTCCCTTGTGTTAGGGTTAACTAACCCTTGTGTTGTGAATAGGTGCAAGAGAAATAAACAGAACTGAATGAAAGAACAACAGCTAAAGGCCTCATGCATCTTTGAAATTATAGACAAGCAACGTTATGATATGTAGTTTAAGTTCAGTCACATGTATGTGATTAGATATACTGTTTTTTTTACGTTGGTTGTGAGTAACTTAATAAAAAATAATAGTAACTTACTGAAGTCTATATATACTTTCATGATTTCTTCACTTCTCTATGATACTTTCTGTCCAGACTAAAGCAATATATGGGGAATTTTTTTATCCTAAATTGTCATGCTTTGGATATTGTTTTGTTTTCAGAGCACAGTTGGTACCGGTGCCCCAAAAGCATCTACAAAATTTATTATTTGGAAAGTTTAAATATGAATTATGAATCATGAATTATATGAATGGCATGAATTTTGATTTTTTGATTGAAAAAGGAATTTCCCTATAATGTCTGTTTTTTTTTTTTATAAAAACCTGCCTGGTGTATATATCTAAATCAATTTTCCTATTATTTTTTTCCTCCAATCTTCTAGCTAGAAATGTTGTTAGTAGTTTAAATGAGACATTTAACTAAGAGATTAGCCTATAGTAGCTGTGTATTTGTTCTTCCCTACTAGGTTTTTAGAAAACATGAATAAAAGCATAAAGATTTTCCTTATGTTGTGTAGACTTGCTTTTGTTAGCTTATGGGGACAGTGGGAGGGTTTATTTTCTTAAATATGGCACATTATAGGAACTTTTGGTACTTTTGGGGTCAACTGAACTTTTCCCCAAAAAGAAAAATTCTCATCTAATGTGTGTGTGTGTGTGTGTGTATTTGTTTTACATTGTGGGACCCAATTTCTGAAAAAAAAAAAAAAAGGATATTGTGGGGACTGTTTGCTTATTGTGGGGCCTTGTTCCTCTCGTGCCTGTACCCCACGAGGGAAATTGTTTTTCTTAGGTTAAGCATTCACCTTTAGGAATAGATTTAGTTCTAGTTTAGATTGTGGTTAGTGTTAGGTATGAATCTGTAATATTTAGTCAGTGGTCACGGTTAGTTTGTAGAAATTTGGTCAATGGAACAGCCCCACAAAGATAGTGAGACATCTTTTTATGTGTGTGGCCATGTATTTGTTATGAGTCTTTTAGATACTTCCTGCGACCAGTAACTGTTCCCCAAAAGGAGAAATTC